CACTGATTAATGAAGACTTACTCAACTTTGCAGAACACAGAGCTTGTGTTATTTGTGGAGATAAAACTTCAATGTTGCAGAGCAAACTGAGTCAGTGGAGTCGTGCACCACTGTTATGTTTCCCCAGAGAGGGACTTAAAAGGCATTAATTCCTGCAAATGTATTGATTAAATGGGTGAACCACACCTTTAAAATTACAGTCTTTCACTCGTCCTGGAAACTGTAGTAATGTGTATTCACAATGAATTTGTGTTTTAAATGGTTGGTCAGAACAAAACAGACATTAAAGGAAGAGTAGTAGAGCCCTGCTCATGGTCATTCAGATGCAGTCTGGTGGTGGATATAGATTTTTACAGGTGCTGGCCAGTAAATTAGAATATCATCAAAAGGTTGAAAATATTTCAGTAATTCCATTCAAAACGTGAAACTTGTACATTATATTCATGCAATGCACACAGACCAATGTATTTCCGATGTTTATTACGTTTAATTTTGATATTTATAGGTGACAACCAATGAAAACATCAAATCTGGTATCTCAGACAATTAGAATATTCTAAAGGCCAATGAAAAAATGTTTGTTTCTCTAATGTTGGCCAACTGAAAAGAATGAACATGAAAAGAATGTGCATGTATAGCACTCAATACTTAGTCGGGGCTCCTTTTGCCTCAATAACTGCAGTAATGCGGCGTGGCATGGACTCGATCAGTCTGTGGCACTGCTCAGGTGTTATGAGAGCCCAGGTTGCTCTGATAGTCGTCTTCAGCTCCTCTGCATTGTTGGGTCTAGCGTATTGCATCCTCCGCTTCACAATACCCCATAGATTTTCTATGGGGTTAAGGTCAGGCGAGTTTGCTGGCCAATCAAGGACAGGGATACCATGGTCCTTGAACCAGGTGCTGGTGGTTTTGGCACTGTGTGCAGGTGCCAAGTCCTGTTGAAAGGTGAAGTCTGCATCCCCATAAAGTTGGTCAGCAGCAGGAAGCATGAAGTGCTCTAAAACTTCCTGGTAGACGGCTGCATTGACCCTGGACCTCAGGAAACAGAGTGGGCCAACACCGGCAGATGACATGGCACCCCACACCATCACTGACGGTGGAAACTTTACACTGGACCTCATGCAACGTGGATTCTGTGCTTCTCCGCTCTTCCTCCAGACTCTGGGTCCTTGATTTCCAAAGGAAATGCAGAACTTGCTTTCATCAGAAAACATAACTTTGGACCACTCAGCATCAGTCCAGTCCTTTTTGTCCTTGGCCCAGGCGAGACGCTTCTTGCGCTGTTTCTTGTTCAAGAGTGGCTTGACACACGGAATGCGACACCTGAATCCCATGTCTTTCATGAGTCTCCTCGTGGTGGTTCTTGAAGCGCTGACTCCAGCTGCAGTCCACTCTTTGTGGATCTCCCCCACATTTTTGAATGGGTTTGTCGTCACAATTCTCTGCAGGGTGCGGTTATCCCTAGAGCTTGTACACTTTTTTCTACCACATTTTTTCCGTCCCTTCGCCTGTCTGTTAATGTGCTTGGACACAGAGCTCTGCGAACAGCCAGCTTCTTTAGCAATCACCTTTTGTGTCTTGCCCTCCTTGTGCAAGGTGTCAATGATTGTCTTTTGGACAGCTGTTAAGTCAGAAGTCTTCCCCATGATTGTGGTGCCTTCAAAACAAGACTGAGGGACCTTTTAAAGGCCTTTGCAGGTGTTTTGAGTAAATCAGCTGATTAGAGTGGCAGCAGGTGTCTTCTATATTCAGCCTTTTCAGAATATTCTAATTTTTTGAGATACCAAATTTGGAGTTTTCATTAGTTGTCACTTATGAATATCAAATTTAAATGTAATGAACATTGGAAATACATTGGTCTGTGTGCATTGCATGAATATAATGTACAAGTTTCACGTTTTGAATGGAATTACTGAAATATTTTCAACCTTTTGATGATATTCTAATTTACTGGCCAGCACCTGTATAGCAATCAAGAAAGGTACCAAACTTCAAAATCCTAATTTATAGAAACTGGCCAGATATTGTGGCTTTAGAAAAATGGCACATATGAAACAGGACAACGATGACTAACCTTTTCTGACCTGATTTGTCAAAGTAAACAAACCTCAAGAGTTGTTTTCTACACTAGTTGTGTGAGATCATAAAGCAAAACTTAACCCTGACAAGCTGGAAACAAATGTTAATATTCCAAGAAACAAATAAAAACAGAACATTTGTAGGTAACAGATTTTCTTTGGGTAGTTAAATTGGATGATTACGGTGGTTTTTGTGTCATGCTTTTCTCAGCTAAAATTCTGCATCAGGCTTTGTAAGAGGAACGTTTGATGTAGGGCTTAAAAGTTTCGATGCAGAGTGCATCTTCCACTCTTTCAAATGTCTACGGATCTGGATTTAATTTCTCTTTCATACCTCTGCTTGATTTTCTTTTGTCTCTATCTAACCTCCTTTGTGATCCATTTATCTTGGTGAATGGTTCCACAGATGGTGCTCCATCTTTCAGTCTTCATTTCATTTTTCCATTTGGCTTCTCTATCACTTTACCTTTAATTTTCTTTCCCTGTACTTTCTTCTCTTATCATCTTCGCTCTCCATCTTGGCAACAGAAGCTGGTGAAGAATCAAGAAAAAAAGTTGGGTGGTTCTTTATTCTAGTGATTTTTATTAATGATTGTGCTTCTGGTGGTGTTTTGTTATATATGATTTAGACCGTTAGATAATCTTTGTGTTAATCATGTGACTTAATTTAGATGTTCATCTGAAATTGCTATAAAGGACCTCATCAGTACACACAGTGGGAAATATCACCAAAGTCCTCCGAGAGTCACGGATTTCATCACTCAGTCAAGAGTTTTTTCTTCATCCCCAGTTTTAATCTTTTATTTACTACAGCGTGTCTGCTGACTGAGTTCAATACAGTTTTTAATATTTTCCTATAGCAGTGGCTTTCATTTAGTTTTTTTTTTAATATACATTCTTACTAATTTAAAAAAATTACATTTGTTTTTGCCTTAATTAAATTTTATTCAATACTGTTTATTTAAGTGGTGCCTGTTCACAACAACAGTCACCTAAAAGCAAATAGCAACAAGTCCAATTTATATCAGAACAGGTCCAGTTGCATGTGGTCGATTCATTCCAGTTGGGAAATAATCGGACTCATTAACACATGAAAAGCTAATTGGGGAAAAGCTTGCCTTATATATGGAACCTGGCATAATTAAACTATTTCAACATAATTCCCCAACTTGAACAAGCACAGTGAGATGGGTGATAGTGGAAAAGAAAACTAACACAAGAAGAAACAACCAGCAGAACCAGAACCAGGCTCATCATGTGTGGCTCGATGCTTAGTATACCAGGGTCTGAGATGACTAGAGGCTTGTCATCATTATTTCTATGCACAGATAAAAATAGAAAACAAAGTTACAGTTGGAGGCAAAAGTTTGGGTAGCCCTGTTAATTTTCTTGTATAAATCGTTGGTTGTTAGTATTAAAAAATTCAGTTGAATATATCATATAGGAGACACACACAGTGATGTTTGAGAAGTGAAACAAAGTTTATAGGATTTACAGAAAGCGTGCATTAATTGTTTAAACTAAATTAGGTAGGTGCATACATTTGGGCACTGCTGTTATTTTATTGATTCCAAAACCTTTAGAACTAATTATTGGAACTTTAAATTGGTTTGGTAAGCTCAGGATCTTTCATGGAGGTACAGTCAAAGAGTCGGAGTACCCGGTCCGGAGGGTTACCAGGGTCCCACCATGGAGCCAGGCATGGGGTTGGGGCCCATGAGCGAGCGCCTGGTGGCCGGGCTTTCGCCCATGGGGCCCGGCCGGGCCCAGCCCGAACCGGATACATGGGCTCATCCAACTGTGGACCCACCACCCGCAGGAGGAACATGAAGGGTCCGGTGCAATGTGAATCGGGTGGCAGACCAAGGCGGGAGCCTTGGCGGTCCGATACCCAGACAAGAAAACTAGTTTTTGGGACATGGAACGTCACCTCGCTGGCGGGGAAGGTGCAGGAGCTTGTGGCAGAGGTTGAGCGGTACCGGCTAGATATAGATATATTAATAAAGGAAAATCATGAAGATTAACAAGGCTGCCCAAACTTTCGCATCCTACTGTAATTACAGACACAAAGAGTGAAAAGAGTAAAGACTAGAGTGAGGGGATATGGTCCTCTAGCAATCCATGTCTATAGAAGCATGACTAAAGGGATGAGCCAGGATAACCTTTAACGAGTCATCAAAAAGGTCTAGTTTTAGTCTCTTTTAAACTTGACCTTGTTTATAAAAGTAATTAAATTCTGAAAGGATCCTTAACAGTCAGAAACCTTTACAGTTTTAGCCGGATTCTAAAAATGATTCATTCATTCAAAGTAACTTACCATTTTAATCTAACCTACATGTTTAAGTATTTTATGAGTGTTTTTTTTTTATATAACAAGTGAAGTTTTTGTTAATGTAAAGAATGATCATCATTGAACTTGACGGACACGGAGTTTATCAAAGAGATGTTTATATATATATATATATATATATATATATATATATATATATATATATATATATATGTATGTATGTATGTATATCCCTCCACCAGTCTTATAGAGTGATATGAGGATAATTAGAGAACCAAGTTTTGGACACTTTCACTTCTAACAACAGCCCTCAAGGGCACCTTGTTTATTTATTGTTCCTTTTTAAACTTAATTGCAATCCATTATTGATCCTAAAAACAGACACAGGCCCATCGATCATATGCTGTCCACCTGTGACTGGGGGGCAGTTTGTCTCATCAATTAAATTATATTGGGCCTCATGTGGATGAATGAAACTGTCAACACCAGTGTTTGGCCTCACAATAGGTTAAACTTTATTTATTAAAAGGTTTTGATGAGTGACTGCCTACCTGACTCTTTGAAGAATGGGCCTGAATGCGGTTTGTGATCAAAGTTTCAGATTTTTCTTGACTTTCATTTGTTATCTATAGGGGGCAGGCTGCTTTCGTCTGACGTTTACTGATGCCGATGGGCGTGAGAACCCAGCACTGACGAGTGGAAGCAGCACATTCCTTCTCTCTTCTTCACCCTCTCGCCCCACGACACCTCCTGTCACGCTGGCAATGTCAAGAGTCCCGAGTCCCCCTCCCCCGGCGGAAATGTCCAGCGGGCCGGTGGCTGAAAGCTGGTGCTACACACAGGTATCACAACCACACAGCTGTCAGATGTGACCCTGATTTTACATAAATCTCATATGTGTTTTCTTTACCAGATCAAAGTGGTGAAGTTTTCTTACATGTGGACCATCAACAACTTCAGCTTCTGTCGTGAGGAGATGGGCGAGGTCATCAAAAGTTCCACCTTCTCTTCAGGGGCCAATGACAAACTCAAATGGTGAGGTGCTGGAATAAAACTCCACCCACCTCAGTTTTCTCTGTCTGATAATTAAACGATATCATGGTTTTATACAAAAAGTATAAAATCAATCCGAATAAAAGAAAATACCATCATTTTCCAGTCAAGAACGACTTTATGATTTTTTTCACCTGCTCTTTAGAGCATTTAACTACATTTTCCGTTGACGTCAGGTGTTTGCGAGTGAATCCCAAAGGGCTGGATGAAGAGAGCAAAGATTATCTGTCCCTGTACCTGCTGCTGGTCAGCTGTCCCAAGGCAGAGGTCCGTGCAAAGTTCAAGTTCTCCATTCTCAACGCCAAGGGAGAGGAGACCAAAGCCATGGGTGAGCAAACCCTTACTTTCTTCTGCAAAACATGAATGGTTGTGTGCAGTGATGTGTCCTTTGTTTTGACGCTTTGAAGCGTGTGTCAGGTAATCCAGGGAGATTTTTTGTGAAGCATGTATTGAGGCTTGTTTTTAGTTGAGATGTCTGAGGCCTCGCTGGCAGTCCGTACCACGTAAATGATTCAGGAACTGGGCTGCTGATTCGCACAGTATTTGAAATAGAAGATGCTGCAAAACACTGCTGATTTCCCCCATCACATTTTGTTGTGGAATTGTATTGTGTAGTGGTGTAAAGAGTCAACATGATTTTGTTAATGAATTCCTGTTAAAATGAGACTGCAACTGTAAGTTCTGTTTTATTTTTATTCTCTTATTATGAAAATCCACAGCAGAAGTTTGTGTTTAGTGCCGTGTGCTTTGCCATAATCGGTCAGTAGCGCTGGACTTGTAGCTGTGTCTGGTCGGGGTTTGCTGGAAACGTGCAGTCGTGCATGTTCCACGTTGTTCCAGAATAAATTACACCTGAAATCTGCTCGTCTTGAGTCCAGAGGTCGTTATTTCTGTAGCAGCAGAGATGAGAACAGGAAAAGTTACTGTTACGTACCACACGTAGTTTTTAATGGACAGATTAAGACAATGTTTACATATAGCCATCACTAATATTAATTTATTTATTCAGTTTGTAAGGTTCACACGTCATTATAATGATTGTGCCTGTTTTATGTAAATCGTCCACTTGGTGGCGCAGTAGAGCAAATCAATCATCACAGTGCCTAGAATCATGAGTCTACCAGTTGGATGGAAAGCTTCAGTTCATCATGAGGCTCCATCTCACCGTCACTAGTTGTGAGTGTTTTGATGTGATGACGGTGTGTTTGTGTGTGTGTGTGTGTGTTGTCTCTCTGCAGAAAGCCAGAGGGCGTATCGCTTCGTCCAGGGTAAAGACTGGGGCTTTAAAAAGTTCATCCGGAGAGACTTCCTCCTGGATGAAGCTAACGGCCTTCTACCTGATGACAAGCTCACGCTTTTCTGTGAGGTACTTATTTACAGTACACCCCCCCCCCCACACACACACACACACACCACCACCCATCCAGAGGAGTTGTTTTGGATTTCAGTGGCTTTCCCTCTGTTAGGTGAGTGTGGTGCAGGACTCGGTCAACATATCTGGTCAGAACACTATGAACATGGTGAAGGTGCCTGACTGTCGGCTAGCGGACGAGCTGGGGGGGCTGTGGGAGAACTCACGCTTCACAGACTGCTCCTTGTGTGTGGCCGGTCAGGAGTTCCAGGCCCACAAAGCCATCCTAGCAGGTACAGGCACGGCTCGGACCTGGTCCTTTCTCCATCACAACCAATCGCCCATTAAATACGCTTCCTCTTCCTCTGCAGCTCGCTCGCCTGTGTTCAGCGCCATGTTTGAACATGAAATGGAGGAGAGCAAAAAGGTACGTTTTATTCATTCTCAGACACAACGCTCGTGTCTTCACTGCTGCTATTAGGGGTTAAAGTGAGTGAAGAATCGTACGCTGTCAGATGGCTGCACCGCCGCGTTGTTTTGTTGGAACAGAATGATAGTGCAACTGAAATGCAATTGTCCTGCTGCACTTGGAGGTCAAGATTCATTCCTCACTGTCAGAGCGGCAGAAACAGAATTACGTTTTTTCCCTTTATTGTTCCACATGTGACTGTAAGAAATGAGATTACAGGAGTAGCCTCCCAGGTGTGTTTTCTTCTTACGTTTTAACGTTTTAGTCCAAATTCTCATTTTATTTTGTTGCCAAATTAAAATAAAGGTTTTAGTAGTTAAAAAAAAAACATTGGTAGGATTTTTAATCATTTGAATCTCTGTGTTTGTAAAATCCATTCATCCAACGTTTTGTGTCCATCAGAACCGTGTGGAGATCAACGATGTGGAGCCGGAAGTCTTCAAGGAGATGATGTGTTTTATTTACACAGACAAAGCTCCTAACCTGGACAAGATGGCAGACGACCTGCTTGCTGCAGCTGATAAGGTATTTTATGATCACGGTGAGACCAGTGAATGGGTGGGTGCAACCACTTTTTTGAACATTTGTAGTGTTTTTGTTATTTTTTAACTGAATAACTCTGGTTATCTGAGGAGAAACAGTTCATGATCAGTTTTGTGAGGCAGATTTGACACGCCATGCAGGTTTTATCAGAAACATTTGTATTTAAAGTAGGGCCGGGACTTTAACGCGTTAAATATGATTAATTAATTAGAAAAAAATGACGCGTTAAAAAAAATTCACGCATTTAATCGCAGCTTGCATTTCGAGCACGGCGGAACTTTTGTCATTGCACGACTTCCTCATAAACTGAAAATCACTGACGCACACAACAATGCACAGTGCTAATGGCTACTAAAACGGAATAAAAACAGAAAGAAGTTGCCTTGCTTGGACTGATGCAGGATTTAGGAAACACGTCCGCCTCTTTTCTTAACTTGAAAAAAAAACTTCCAGACAACAACGGAGTCCGTGTCGCGGATATTTTTCAGAGATCGATACTGCTGCGGCTGCCCGGTGTCAATGGGAAACTTTATAAAAGTTGCGGTCAGCTATATTTTTAACATTTACGTAACATCTGTGCAGCGCTGAAAGCACCAGACAGAATAATTCTTTCCCCTAACAGTAGTTTATGAAAGTAGTCAGACAAACTAGAGGCACCTGGCTGCCGCTGGGAGAACGCTCCGTGTTCTCACTACTCTGTAAACAATCACAAACAACGTGTCTTAAAGTTGAAAACAGAAGTTTAAGTTAAAACAGAAGCACTCTAAAACTTTTCTGATGATTTTCTAAACAATTCTGCCAGTGAATTATATGTTTCTGAGACGAGTCACTGTCTAAACATCAGATGCATTACTATCATTAAGCAGCGAGGTGTGTTGAAGCTGTCATCAGCTAAGGGGCGGATGCTTAAGTACATCAGGGGCAGCGAGGAAGTTGTGATCAGGCTGGAGATCACACCAGATTCGCTGCTGCAGGCATGAATCTGCGGGTCTGCAGCATCCCCTTCTTAACGTGACATCAGGACTTGCCATGTAAGGAAGGCCCGCTCACCTGTTCGTCAGATCATTATTTCCTCGCCATGATCTTTTATCATCCCATCATCCTCCAGTCATCCAACTGGAACCAGTTAGCGTTCCTGATCATTCTCAGAATATGTCACGCCTGCTCTGGTTTTAAAAGTTAGTACATTTAAGTCCTAGATCATATTTGTGCCTGTTCTACTATCATTTTGAAGGATTATTATTTATGTGTTTTTACTACATTATGAGTAGAAATGCTAATAAAAACTCCCAATTATACAAACAAGTGAAACTGGAAAAATTAGAATCTGGTGCAAAGTCAAATTTATTTCAGTCATTCAACTAGACAGAGACTATTTAAAGGCTCAGGAACACTTTGCAGGTGTTTTCTATTTGTAATTATAAATTTTAGTTGATTTGGGTTTTGTTTCATATCACACAGTGACACTTGAATAATTAAAATGCATTTTTTATTAAAAGCTTTAGTTTACAGTAATAACCATGTCTAATGTTTGATTCTCTGTCTCATAATTTTATTTAAAAGTTTTGCTTTGAGAGCACATTTTCCTGAACGATTAAAATGCGATTAATTTAGATTAATTAATTACAAAGCCTCTAATTAATTAGATTGCAATTTTTAATCAAGTCCCAGCCCTAATTTAAACGTATTAATCCAAAGGTGTTTGAACTTCTTTGGTTTCTTGAAGACTTCTCAACCTGGGAGCTTTGCCATTTCTGACTGGAATATGGGAGGGTCAAGGAGGACCATTCATTCCTTCATTCAGACCCCTTTGGATTAGCATGACCTGGATGACAGAACCTTCAACAGCATATTGATGCTAGTTTTGCCGCTCTTCTTTAGTCCAGCTGCAGACATCCAGACACACTTTTTTAATCTTGATCGTCCAAAATAATCACTTAAATTATCTTCACCTACCAGCCGTTGCTGCTCACTTCTTCAGCTTTAGACCCAGATTTTCTGTTGAATCTCTTTGCTGCTAAGCTAGCAGAATAAACAGTTGACAGAGCCATTGTGTCCTGAGTGGAATTTATTCCCATTTCTCAGCCGCTCAGGGAGTTATCAGCTCCACACTCTGTGCTTTAGTTTTTCTACTTTCAAAGACTTTCCTACAAGAGCAGAGCCACAGTATTCTCCGATGACTAGTACAGTATGACCATTGCCGTTTCCCCCGCTAACTACACTGCAGCCAAAGCAGGTGGGGCAGCTGATGCATGTATGCTGCATAGTTCTGGAACCCAAGTTTTTTCTTTTTTATTCGTGGTTTTTAGTGGTCGAAAGTTACAATTCTAGACTACTGCCTATGTGTATATATGTGTACCTTTGTCATTATTTTTCTTTAAATTAATCTCTTAACTGTTGGTGCTGCTGTTACAAGTGAGTTTCCCCACTGTGGGAGCAATACATTCTATTCTATTCCATTCCATTCTATTCTATTCTAATAATAGCACCTCCAACCAAACTAGCCTGTTTAATGGAGGAGGATAAGGGAGCTCCACCAACCTCCATCACAAAAGGCTTTTGTCTCTGTCAGAAACATCCAGACTTCTTTAGTAAATGTATTTGCATCCAGACAATTCCTCTTTTTTATATTGACAGAATTATTATTAACAGTACAGTACAGGAACAACACATTGTTGTTTACTGTTTAAAGCTTAAGCTGGATGAAAAGATGGGAACTCAAACTCCAGTCTCGAACTCAAGTTGGGAACTCCAGTCTTGTGAAAATGGTGTAATCAGAAGTGACAACGAGCTAGTTACCGAGCTGCAGACGGGGGCGTAGTCAGAGCTATGCAGCATGATTGGTGGAGCTGCTGTCTGCAAAGAGGCATGTTGACCATGTTTTTGCTGCTTGGATCAATTCCAGCTCATTTACTTGTCAGCTAAAGTGTTTTCTCAGATATTCACTTAAAAACAGGGTAGACCGTTTTTGTGCTCAACTCTTGCTGTGCTGCCATTCTTGCTGTTTAGTGTAGATCTGTGTTAGAGATGTGACTCTATGCCAGTCAAACTAATTTTATGTGGTTGTTTTTGTGTGCCGGCCCTTCTCCAGTACGCTTTAGAGAGACTGAAGGTCATGTGTGAAGACGCTCTGTGCACCAGCCTGTCTGTGGAGAACGCTGCAGAGATCCTCATCCTGGCTGATCTGCACAGCGCCGACCAGCTCAAAACACAGGCGGTCGACTTCATCAACTAGTGAGTTCACACAGGGAAGAGCTCTTCCTCACTTATAATTGGCTTTCCAGCACCTCATGGGCGACTCACAGGTCCACCGCGTACACCGTACATCTCACGTCTGTTTTTGTGTCACTTTGTTTCATCTTCATCCCGACATCATTACTGACGGTAGCAGGACTCGGTGTCCCCCTTCTGCCTCGTCTTTAGGTGTCTTTGTCACAGTTAATGGTTTAATTTCATGTGCGCTCTTTTGAAGCGAGGCTTGGGTTTGATTACACTTTGTGAAATCTTTTATGGCGGATCGGGGCATCCTGACTCGTCGCTGGGCCTGTTGACACCTCCTCTGTTGCCTCAGATGGGTGCGTGATAATCACTCTGAGCACGTCTGTGCAGCTCTTACACTAACACATATTTTCTGTAAGGCGGGTGATATTTAAAGAAAGAGTGGAGTTTTTGGTGTTGTCAGCTTTTAGGTTTCTATACAAAACAACATGACAGGGCTTGATGCTAGTGCAGTCTGAATCTTAGCAATTACAGCTTCACGGGTTTATGTGCTCTCATTGTTTAAAGAATAGTTCTGAAATGTTAAAGCTCTCATTTGCTCATTTTTTCAATGACCCTGCTGTGGCCTCTGAATGTCTTATAAGTCTATCTTTGTGGAAAGAAAGCTCTGGCGCTCCTGTTTCAGGAAGTAAAAGTTAGTCAGAGGAGTGGGGGCGAGAAGGCTTGCCAACAAATTAAAAATCGTCCCTCGTTAATTATAATTGCTAGCTGGCTGCTTCCAGATGAGCGACTATCAAGTGCGATGTGTTGGAGACCTCTGCTCTATTGGCTGGTAGACGTAAACATAAACGCAGTGTCGTGCCCATAAATATTTGATTATTTTTTAGTTAAAAAGAGCTTTTATAGGAAATACTCTACCTTCAATCAGTACACCTGTAAACGCCCTGTGGAGGTTTTATGTAAAAAACAAACATAGATTTTTATTAAACTGTTCCATAATATACTTTTACCGTTTAGAGAATAGTTCTTTAAAAAAGAAAAAGGGCAAACGTTTTCATTTATTGTAAGTTTTCTGCCGTCAGCACAGGACCAACACCATGTAAGCTGGCTGTAGGATGGAGACACTGCATGTTGTATTTATTTGGTTGTTTTAAACATTTTCCTCCTAAATTTCCTGCTAAAACTCTTTTGGGTTATTTTACCTCCTCAATTGTCACAACTGGTAGAGTTCACTTCCTCGCTGTCAGCTAATTGGAAAAAAACAAAACAAAACCAGGTAGAATTTTCTTTGAACCTGAAGGTTTATTTAGAACCAGCCTTGGTTCTGAGCTTAATGTAAACAGGATTTATTATTTGTGCCCTAAAGCTTATTGAAGTACATTGTTACAGTTTCAATGATAGATAATAAACATTGACAGGTTTATCTATAATCTCAGAAATCCGTCTGTTTTAGCAACACCAAAACTCACTCATGGATTTGAAACCTTCTCCAGTCCAGCAAAAACACGTTGCTCTAATTCAAACTCAAGAGAGGGGTAATTTCCTGTACTAAAACATGTCTTCTCATGTCCCCAGCCACGCTGCAGAGGTGATGGAGACAGCAGGTTGGAAGTCCATGGTTGCATCTCATCCTCACCTGGTAGCTGAAGCTTACCGCTCCCTGGCTTCTGCCCAGTGCCCTTTCCTCGGACCCCCACGCAAGCGCCTCAAACAGTCCTAACAGCATCACGCCCTGGCATCTGCACACATTCTTGCCCTCGCACGCATGCACACACACACACACGCAAATACACCCAGGTCTACCCGTTTCCTAACACACAGGGATGTAACCGTTCCCCTTTGCTGTTACTGCTACACTACCTAGAGCCACCCTCAAATCTCTCCTTCCTGCCTGATTCAGAACCTGCTGTATCTAGTCTCTTCTAAAGATGGAGGTAGGAAGAGGAGGAGAGGGAGGAAAGAGAGAGCTGGGCTTGTGAAGTGGATGTTTGTGATTTACAGTAAATGAAATACACCCACAGCACCCTCCTGTGTTTCCTCGGCTCTGGCTTATTGAATTCTGACGTTGTCATCTTCTTCGTGTATCCTCGGAAATCGTGCTAGTTCCTAATTTGGTGGAGGAAGATCTGGACCCAGTCAAACTGTCTGGAGATGTGTAGCTTTGAAGGACTGTAGCTAATAAAGTGATCTGAGAAGCACCCACACGTAAGGACTCAAAGGATCATGATTGAATCATGAAGATGTAACGAAGGTTTAGTTCTAAACTAGAAGACCCCAAGAACGACAACCAAGGGCTAGCAAAAAAAATGCAAAAATGGGGAGGATAAAAAGAAAATAATTTCTGTATAGACCTGGAGAAAATTGCACTAAAGTCACAGATCAGCTCTTGCCAGCAGTGATGTAGAGATACTGCAGGCAAGCACACGACAAAGCAAACTTCCTGGACTAAAGACCCAGCTGGACCACCACCAACTAATACCCTTTAAAGTTATTTATCTGCCAGTGACAAAGCAACACATGAACTTTTGTGCAGAACCGTGCGAGCCACACCTGCATCCATTTTTCTTTTTAAGACAGCGGGCAAAAGCAGCGCACAACTGGATGTCATTCTTGGGGAGACGATATTTGGTGTCGGACCTTCAGAGAACATAAATGTTCATGGTGTCTTTAAAGAAACCCACCCAGAGGGGAGAGGAAACGTCATGAAGTGGTCTCAAACAAACCTTACGTTTAAATCGGGCATGTTGATGTTCTGTTGTGACAGATTTGGTCTTTGTTTTATTTGTTCTCTCTCTCAGAACGGCTCTATTTTCCCCATAGGAGTTTGTACAGATACTTGTGTTTTTGAAGCAAAAGCATTTTCACTGAAAGAAGTAGTATGTTTTTCTTTGCAGGCTTAAAGATGAAAGGGAAATGAGAATACAATGAACACGTTTTAATGTTCAGAATTATTAAGGATAAAAAAACAGACCGCACAAAATGCTTTTGAAGTCATCATTTCAAACTGGTGGAAAGTGGTGATTCTAGAAGGAACCATTATTTCTATCCTGTAGATATTTCTGATTTTGAGAAGTGACACTTAGTTGTTGCCATTTTTTTGTTCCAGAAAAATAAACCACAACTATTTTGTATTGAAAGAAGTTGTAAATGTGTGTTTTATTATGAATTAAAGTTGAAACTTTGTTTCAGCTGGTGCATCAAACCACCTCTGTGGTGCTTTAAAATGTCATTTTTAGTTGTAAGTATTAAAACTCAATGGCAGTAGTGAGGTCTTCTGATTTGGTTTTATCTTGTCTATAGGATGGCTTTGGAGTAGGGATGTGCAGTTAGCTTCGGCTCTTCTTTACTTAAACGTCTTCTAAAAAAGTCAAGATTCATCCCACATTTAAATTCTCTTGTTTTCATTTATTTACTTTTTAAAAACATTAGATTGTTTTTCTTTTTTTTTTACAAATAGCAAAATCTAAAAACAAAAGGTTGTATAATATGTCTTTAGCTTATTTCATTTTAGAGCATGAATACACTTTTTAATTTGTCAGGTGTTAGGATTTAGGATAATTATTAGTAAATTATTATTTGCTAGCAGAAATCATGAAAAATGATCATTTGCACTCCTACAGCTTTTCACTCATTGTCATTCACAAATCTAACGTGTCACACAGGTTTCTCTGTTGTCAACGTGGAGAGCTTTTGTTCTGCAGGAACTCCTGATGAGGGATTTTGTTTAAAAACATCCCATAATAAAAAGTACCAGTGAAGCTCGAAAAATTACAGTATGATGCAAAAGTTCTTTTGTGTCAGTAATTCAACTAAAAAGGAGAAATGAATGCATGAGACACAATCATTACATAAAATGGCAGATGTTTCAAACTTTTATTTGTTATGATTGTGATGTTTCTCAGACAATTAGAATATTGTGGAAAGGTTCAATATTCTAGACAAAGCGTTACACTGTAATCAGCTAATGAATCCAGAATACCTGCAACGGGTTCCTGGGCCTTTAGATGGTCTCTCAGTCTGAGCTGGATTACTGTCATGAAAGGACTATTGCTCCTTTTTCTGGTTCTTCCAGTTTCACCTGTACTGGTTGGAATCCGCTCCAGCATCAGTAGTTGACGGGCTCTGATCCAGCGCATGCAGCATTTGTTTTTCATTTTTGTTCTTCTACACTGACTTAAGCTAATTTTCTAAATACAAGTGTGTGTACTCCTGCAGAGCAAGATGAAGCTGCTGAACTCTCACGCTCTGCTGCATCTCGTATAATTGTACAACATGTAAGCCTTCGGGCTAAATAATCAACTTGCACATCTGGATCTTTAAACATCTGTTTGTTCGGCAGACAAACAACAGCTTCACTAAATAGATCGGTACAATGCCCGTGTCACTGCAGATGCAGCATCAATCTGCCTATCAATCTCATGCTCCATCTTTCCCTCACTTGTGAACAAGATCCTGAGGTACTTAAACTCCTCCACTTGAGGCAGGACCTCATCCCTGACCCAGAGAAGGCATTCTACTCTTTTCTGACTCAAGACCATGGTCTTAGATTTAGTTAATCTGAATCATTCAGAGAATGAAACGCCAACAATTCTCTCAGAGAGACCGCATGGTGCTGGGTAAGGGATTAAGGCTATTTCAAACCTATTGGAAGTCTGCAGCGAGGAAGCCTGGAAAACATTTGAGACAGCTGTCAATCATCCCAGAAGAGCTCATCTCAGTAAGTACAACCCGAGATCAGAGACGATGATAAAAGCTCCAAACTGAAGCAGGATTGCCAGATTAATCCAGCTCAGTGTTAAAGGAACATTTCAGCAAAACTTAAGCTTTTAGAAGAATTAATTCTGGAAAAAGACCAAATTTGTGACACTTAAGTGCACAGCAGCCAAACCTAATTACTTCAATTAATTTCTGTTTTTTAGGCTGCAGATTCTGTTTTAAACGATTTTTAAATCAACCAACCAAGAATCTAAGTCAAAGGGAAATCCATCTAAAAGGTAAATGGTCTAATTATACAGCACCTTTGTGGGTTCTATTGTCCCCCAAGTCGCTTTACAACTAACGCTGGTGATGATGAACTACGGTGTAGCCGCAGCTGCCCTGGAGCACAGTGATGGACACGAGCACAGGTGCCACTAGTCCCTCGGACCACTGCCAGCAGGTAAGGAGGGTGAAGTGCCCTGCCCAAGGACACAAGCTTGTATCCTGCACCCCTCCAGTTACAGGAAGGGCACTCAACTCCTCTGCCACCATCTACAATTTATAGAACTTCAGTGTTTACACACAATTTCAAGATTTTTGCAGTGATAAAGCAAACCCATGGAGTGTTTATCTGAAGCTGTAAGGAACTCATCTCAAATTTTAAAGCTCAGATTTAGGAGGACCTGCTTTCATGTCACATCCATGTCAAGTTTCTTTCCTTTTGAAACATCACTGAAAAGATTCAGGCTTCAGTCAACACACACCGCAGATAAAGTTTAAAATAACATTTGGTAGACCAGGATATGGCGATGCAGAGGTTTAAATGACCTTTCATCCAAGTGGCTTCTGGAGCCAGAATTTAATTTCTATACAGTGGTTTATTTTTGTTTACCTGTACATTTCTCTCCAAAGCAGATTCACGACAAACCTGTTGTATGATTGTTGTTCTGATGTAATACTGCAGCTGGAGAACTTTGGAGAAATTGTAGAAGACTGCAAAAACCTTGAAACAACTTGAGCTCCATTTATACTTATTACAGAAGAAAAGTATTGCAGCAAGCTGTTCTTAGCATGACATGTGAAAGCTTAGCTACAGTGATGAATAATTTAATTCTTTTTGTCACATTGACTTTGTAACTCTGAAAGGTGCAGAACCGTGTGGAGGTGAACATGAGTTTGTGCATGGGAGCAAATGGCCTCTGACTCCTCAGTGTTCAGACGCCATGTGCCTGATGTCTACAGAGATGAAGATGGAGGTGATTAGTTACTTCGGGAGGGTACGCTCTTCTGTTTTCATTACGCTTACTTGTTTTCACTCAGTTATTATTATATTTTGCACCATCAAGTCAAACTAACTTGCTCAACAAGGTTCTGTTCAGTTCTAAAAAATAACGCAGCATTGTGATGGTGACATAACTGCAGGGCTGAATACACTTGTACCATGAAAGTTTTGGTTAGTAGATGTTTGTACATGTTCATAAAATGTTATTAAACCAGTTTGTCAGTTCCACCTCTATTGTTCTAATTACTCATTTAAAAAATACATTTTCAGGATTTGAAAAAAACAGGAAATCAACTTTGGAATTTTCCTCAACATTCCTCTTTCAGACTGGATTTCTGCTATGCTGTTTGAGGTCTTCTCCAGAATCACCATGGTTACCCTGTAGAGAGGAAGTCTGGACTCTGGGAGCTGTAGTCTGGACAGACCTTCTGAACCAGCCGGTAGTCTGTGCTGTAGAAGGACATGTAGACACAGATCACCTGAAAGGGTTTGGAGCATATCCAGGTGATGTGGCTCTGAGTTTGTTCTTGATCACACTTCTTCGACGGGTCGTAGTTGCACAGCATCACCTTTTTGCTGCGTTCTGTTTTCTCATAGTCCACCCTGCAGTTAAAGGTCTTTGAGTCCTTAGGATGGACCACGCTTTGGCGTTCCAAATCAAAATCCACCTCTTTCATGGGTGGGACCAGGCTGACGGAGACATTTCCCACCCCCGTGGAGTTGTGACGGAAGTAGACGCCAAGAGAACCGTTGCCATGATCCACGACTTTCCCCACGATTAGCAAATTCAGCTTGACCGTTTTGATGTTAGAATAAAAGTCTCCCAAGCTGAATGTCCTGGAAAGTTTAGATACTCCATGAACTTTCATGATGGGCTGAAGCTTCCTTTGCACAGATGGGTTGGACATTTTCTCTGAGTTGTCCCCAAGGATGTCCGAAAGTCCTTGTTTAGGCAGAGAGATAGAGGGGTGAATGGGTGTTTTGGAGTTTTGAGCCTCTCTCCTGGTCTGAAGTCCCCAGATCTTCTGTAGGCTTGCATCCTGGTCTCTGTGGAGCTGAGTTGGTCTTGATTTATTGAAGGTGTGGGTTTCATTCAAACAGAGAGCCAACTAAACACGAAAGGATGAAGAGAATCAGACAATCAGCTTTTTAGGAAGTTAAGGCAAAACCTTTTACTGATCCCAGATTAACACCATTAACTACAGAAATTGGTCCCTTTATTAATAGTACTTAGTGCATTAGTAAGCATTTGAAGGTGCAGTATGTAAGAATATAGAGATAATTTTACAGAGAAAATCCCAGAAGAGTCTAATGTTTCAGTCATTTTGGAACTGAAACATATTTCATACCCAGCTGGCTGTGGGGATTGTCAGTTTTTCTCCTTTCAAAATAAAAGAAGGCACTTAAAAGGGTAACTAAACCCCAAAATACCATTTTTTTTACTAATTAACTGTATAATTGGGTCTTTACAAATACAATCTTTCTGTTTATGTGCATTTTTTGACATGCTTGTGTAAACTTGATTAAATCTAGACTCTAGGTATAAAAACGTCTTAGTGCTGCGCCCTGTGGCAGAACAGCAGCTACTGCATTTTAAACTTGTGATTGGTACAATTTCACATCATCTGTACAGTCTCCTCCCACTCCCCCTCCCTCCCAGAATGGAAATTCCCCACACCTGGCCATGCTACTCTGCCTCCTGGCAACGCCCACTTTCATGGCATTTTAAAAATCTTGACTAGGGGTGGAGTTTCATTTTCTGATGGTGTGCAGTCCCTCTTTAACTACTGTTTACTATCAGTGAGTGTGGGGTTGCCGTGTCTCCTACAAGCTAATACTGCAAAGCCCATATTTCAAATAAAAAAATTTAAACTTTCTACATTGTCAGATATTGAAGCTTATTTGTAGTTTGCCACATAATGCGCCCCTTGAGGGGTTTTGGCCCTTTGTCCACCATATTTCTTAACATTTACTTGTATATATTGTGTATTGTTTTTCACTGAGAAAACAAACAAAAGATAGAAGAAAATACCGGTAAGCACCACTTTGAGATCAGTCTTAAATATCAGCTTTAAAATCTATTTTTCAGTCCTGAAACTGATCAGAATGCTTTAAAAATGTTAGAATTTTGAAACCTTGTTGCAAATAAAACTAAAATAAAATGTTTTAGTGGAAAATGCAGAAGTCCTTTAAGAAACCGCCACAATGACTTGAATTTGTTTGACTCACCAGTAAGAAGATTCCTCTCAGAAAAACCCAAGCAGAATGACAGGAAAGCCTCTCCATAGTGCCTACATTCCCAGAACCATCCAGCTTCTAATCACTCAAAGGAAGTCTGACTCCGCTCATGCTCCATGTTTAAAATGTGGATCTATGATAAACCCTGCGCAAACACTCCACATGTGTTGGTTCCACTCACAGCTCTCCCACTGAGAGGTTTTCTCAGGTCTGCAGGTTTTTAGCAGACTTCTCCTCTTCTCATCTCATCTCCTCTCCCTCTCTTTCTCACTCCCACTCCCCACATTACATGTTTCACTCAATATCTTTTCTATAAACATAAACAGCATCACTCTGTCTTCTCAAAAAACATTTTTTTTTACTAGATTCTTACTGGATTAGCACACACAATCACATTTTATTAGAATAAATATGGTTTATATTAGAGATGTAGAGTCAAGTTAGAAGCACAAACTCAGACTCAGGTGATCCCTGAAGAACATTTAGAGCTTGCTTGGTCAGTATTTGGTTTACAGAAGACAGTTGTGAATATAAAAAAGATTCATGATAAACATAACACAATTCCTTTTCTCTTTTTTCAACCTCATGTTTTCCTCTGCGATCAGACAGACAACATATTTAAGTTTCAGCTTAGTTGATTGATTTATTATTAGTATCTATTTTTTTTGGCGCATCAATCTTTGTCTGGCTGAGTCAAAAATATTCAGATTTAAAATGTTTTAGATGTTTAATTTATACTTTTATAAATTGTAGTTTTGTAATCAAGATGCTGCTTTAATTTTCAATCATTTTATTTTAATTGACAGGCTTTAGGAGCTTGTTGGACATGTGATCTAAGGAAGTATTTTTTTAAGAACAATTCATCAAATTCGCTTGGAGTAACAATGAGCTTTGAAGCATTTGAGAGCATTTTTCTGGACACATTCAGCTGCTTTTCTCTCATTTTAGTAAAACAGAAAACCTGCCCAGCCCAAGAAAACATACCAACGTGACCTTGAACATGGGGCGGCATGGTGGTGGTGGCTCAGGGATTGGTCCTGTAATTGGTGGGTTGCTGGTTAAAACCCAGGCTCCATCCATGTCAGTTGTTATCTTTGGGACCAGTGGTGCCTGTGAACAGCAGCCTCGCTTCTGTCAGTGAGCCCAAAGCAGCTGTGGCTACAATGTAGCTCATCACCATCAGTGTGTGAACAGAAGGACTAGCATAAAGCACTTTGGAGTACCCTGACTAGAAAAGCACCATGTGAGTGAAGGTCATTTGTCATTTAATAGTCCCATTTAGAAAGAACTGGTTTTAACTCCCATGAATTTTACAGCTGTACCAGATAACCAGCTTGTTGTGCATTCATGAATATTTGGGCTCAGATTAGAGCTCTCTCCAGTACACTAACATTTTAAATATAAGAAAAGGACTAACCTTTAACCTTAGTAATAAATAAAAGTACAGCCAGTATAGTACCAAAAGGTGTGTGTGCATGTAAATATGTTTTTGCTTTTGAGTGTGTCAGGATACCTTTTAATATGACTCAAAATGCAATCATCATATTATCCATTCAACATGGCCACCCGAAAAAACAAATCTTTTCCTATGATCCTTGTTACTTTACCGTCTGCCTGTTGACATGCTACCTTCTACCTTCACCCAGTTTAACAGAAGTCCTAAACCAGTACAAGGAACCATGGAGCTGATTCAGAACGTTCCCACTGTGGCCCATTCGTCCAGGACGATTTTCTCCTTTAAAAACTCTAACAAAGTTTACTTTTATATTTATTTTTTATTCACATATTTTTGGAGGATAAACACGCACCAGAGATGATTCTGGTCCACCACAATTGTACGAGTATTTTCTTAACTATTTACAAATTTTTTTAAAATTCAGTGCTGTCTGATATTTTGCTGCAGCACTGTTAATCGGGTCAAAACATCATGTGCAGTTGTGAGCGACAGTCTAAGCATAGCAGGTAATTGCAGTACCTGGAAAACACTTGAGATCTTGTTCTTATCATGTTCTTTGTGGTTGTGTTCAGAACCTTGGTCTGCTGATCAGGTTGTGGAAGGTGCTTGGTCACCCATGGCAAACAGGTCCTAGGTTAGGGATCAGACAAAGCACAGCCCAAAAACAGTGTTCCCTTGCCTGCACTGCGGGATCGCCTCTGCCCCTGTCTGGAGCCAGGCCTAGAGGTGGGTCACATTGGCGCGAGCGTCTGGTGTTTTTCACGCAAGGACCCCACCTGGGCACAGCCCAAAGAAGAGCTGTAATTACACTTGTTGCCCCCATCTTGGTGTCTGTTGTGACACCCCCACCATCACTTTGGTTTTATTTGTGTTTCATTCTGTGTTTTTTATTTTCTGTCGCAGATCTTGTTAAAAACAAATGGGTGCACCTGGACTTGGTGTGTAGCTGCTCTATACAGCTTGGATCGGCTCTCTGCTGTGCAGTGGAGACTCCTCCCTGGTTGTTGTTTTATGTTTAATTACTTTATCTACTCCTTAATTAGTAAAATTTATCTTTTTGGTTAAATCCTCACTCCTCTTGTTTAATCTCCCTCCTTCTTATAACCATATACTGTACATATATTATGTGTCAACAAACAAAATTTCAATTTTGGGTGGAATATCCCTTGGGGGGGTGCACCTGTGGACTTTTGTTCACTTGGGACTTTGGCGGGCATGCTCCGGTTGAGACCATTTGATAGAGAGTTAATATACATAAATTAAACAATGAGCAGTGTTTTGTGATTTTTTTTAAATAATTTGTTAGTCCTTCAAGCGTAAAACTGGTTAAATGCAAATACTGTAAGAAAAAAAGTCTAAGTAAGGGAAAAACAAACATCTCAGTCGCCAGACTGTGTGGGACTGTGGAACAGTCCGGTCCAGAATTTCAGTTACCGGGCGCCATTTTGACTTCTTCGACTTGGTTTAACCAGCCACGGTTCTCGTCATCACTGTAGTAAGTTTTAACTGACTTCCCAGATAGCAAACATTTTGGTTTTATTTTGGCATAAATTGGGCATTTTGGCATCCTTCTGGCATAAAAATGTTCGAAAAAGTGTTTTGGTTTAAATGTGGCATAATTTTGTGTTCCCATTATAGACAACTACGTCAGCGAGTGTTTCTGTTTTAACCGTGGCATAAATATGGTTTGCCATAATAGAAAATTACGCGGCTGGCGATTATGGCATATTCTGGTAGCCAGACGAGAGCGGGACAGCTTCTGTGACTTGGGGTTATTTTGGTAAGCCATAAAACTCATCAAATGCCTGGAAAAATAGTGATCGAAGACCGGGAATCAGGACTAATTTGTTCATTTCTCCAGCATCACGACAGAGGTGAGTACCATTTCTTCTTAAATCCTACCTTTTTGTTAGCAATAGTTTTGTTTTAAGTCTGTTTTGTTTGTTTTAGCAAAATGTGTATAATAGGGATGCACCGAATATTCGGCCACGTTCCGGTGTTGTGCCATAAATCGACTCACTGCCAAAAAATGATTAGCTTAGTTTTTTCCAGTTCGGAAGTTGTTTTAAGTGTTGCTATTTGTCTTAAACGTTCACAATGAGGATATATTAATCCTTTTTGCAATATTTGCGATTGAAAGATGGTTTGTGGTAAGAACTGGCTTTCTTTATGTTACAGCCTTGATACTAAAAAATAAATAAACAATGTAAAATGGCGCCCTGTATTGAATGTAAACGTTGTATAAATGTAAATAAACAATTCTCCAGCGATTTGATTTTTTTCCCCTTCCTTTCTTTAGTGGCTAATCATTTTTTGGCAGCGAGTCAATTTATGGCACAACACCGGGTTCCAGAACTAATGGCTTGGTTTCTGCTAGTACAGGGATTCCCAAAGTGTGGCGCGCGAGCTGCCGCTAGGGGGTGCGCGAGGTGAAAAGTGTAATGGCTGCGGAGCTCAGAGAAGTCTGTCATATGTCACCATTAGCGTAGAAACTCATTTGTGGGTGGGCCTAAGAAAAAGTAAGTGGGCACAATAAATGTAATTGAAAACAAGTATATTTTTGCACGCGCGGTCGTCCTCCACATGTGCCCTAGCTTCATAATAACAATGCGCTGAGCTTCAGCACTCATGGCCTGCGCACGCCGATATGTTCCGTCGCGCGCGTGCGTGTCCTCCACATGTGCCCTGACTTCATAATAAAAATAATGCGCCGAGCTTCAGCGCTCTGGCCTGCGCACGCCGATATGTTCCGTATTTGATCATTTTTAACGGTGTTGGAGAAATCTGAAGGTGGCGAGTCATTCTGGCAGATTGTAATTAACACCTGTCTCATGCAGGTGTTCTGACATTGTAAACCTCACACACAGAAAATTGTGGACGTAACAAAATAAATCAAGAAATGATTCCCATTCAGGCTATTAACAGCGCGCTGAAGATCTGAAGTTCAGAGTGCGTCTGTCAGAGGTCAGACGCGTTCTGGCTGAACCACGGCTCACGGGTGCACAAGTGAGCACATCTGGGCTGGGCAGAAGTCATTTTACAACACTGGTTTAAATAGCGCGAGACGCGGTGACTTGAGCGGCTGTGCCGCGCGCGCGTGCGCGCGCACACACTCACACAGCTTCAATAAGCGCACACGCTGCTTTAACTCCAGCGCGCCGTCAGACTGAAGGCAGAAATGAACACTGCCTCCACCGTGATAAAAACTTTTAAGAGGTTATTTTTCATTCAAGGTCAAATTAAGACATTAGCTTCTGGGATGAGTCGGGTCCGCTCCAGCCAGTGACTCCTCATGAACCTGACATCATACTGCAGCATTTGTTGTTCCAGTCCGCATGACAGCGGATCGCAGATTCAGCCACACCATAAAACAGCAATAAGTCGGTCTGAGGTAAAAGTGAACATCATGGCTATATCTTTTCCCCTATAGACATTTGATTACGCACAAGTAGGTGATCAGCTCAGGTTTACGCAGAGCAGAAGGAAGGAGAGCGCTCTGGCCGCACGGTTAAACGTTCCTACTTTAAGAAAACCGTTAAATTGCATTTTTTATGTGCTACCTGGGCACTCTAAATATTTATTTAAAATGAAATCAAAGGAAATTGTAATGGTATCGAATGTTTATTAATTACTATTTAAAAAATGAAAGTGATGGGGAATTTTTTTAACCCTCTCTGTTTAGCTTGACATCTGATAATATATATATATATATATATATATATATATATATATATATATATATATATATAGAGCCATGCCTCGGGGGGGGGGGGGGGGGGGTGCGTCGACATGGTCGGGACATAGAAGGGGGTGCGCGGCTAAATAAGTTTGGGAACCACTGTGCTAGTAGATAGTGGCTGTGCCACTGTTTAGATGACGGTACAGATGCTAACTTTGGCTAACCTACAGCTAACGGAACCAGCGTCTTTATACGACCGAGTGGCTTCGCCAAAGGGTCACGCGGTTCGCTGCGGCTGCAGCAGACTGTAACGGTACCGCGGCTGCAGCAGACTGTAACGGTACCGGGCGGTAGAGGGCTGCATCGGGATTTGATCCCGCGGGACCCAACACAAATCTTGAGGGGGAGGGCGGTGTGAATTTTACTGCGGGCGGGAACAGTCGGCTGGATCGGGATGAGTATGATGGAGTCGGCAACTGATGTTGAAAAGAAGCTGAAACAAGGTCTTTATGACACAAAAACCAAAGCAAGGCAATTCAGACATTTGGAGGAGTTTCTCCGATTGTATTAATATTTCTCATTCAGGTCTCTCTTAGAAAAGCGACCTCGATCACTGCCTCCTACAGAGGAGAATAGAATATGAAACGCAGGGTAATTTGGTGCCCAAGGCACCATATCTAAGCATATCAGGCATATCTGAGGATTTCTACAGTAAATCTGTCTGAAATCTGGCACACATGTACAGTAGGTGTCCCAGAGGAAGAATGTGTTGAAAGCTGGACATCAACTATTAAGGATGATTTTTAATGAATTTTTGAAAATGACAATTGTATTGACTGTATTGCATTAATTACAAGTTTGCTTTAATATCTGAGGATTTCTACAGTAAATCTGTCTGAAATGTGGCACACAGGTACAATATGTGACCCAGAGTAGGGATTTGGTGAAAGTTGGACATCAACTATTAAGGATGATTTTTTATGAATTTTTGAAAATGACATAATTGTATTGACTGTATTGCATTTATTACAAGTTTGTTTTAATATCTGAGGATTTCTACAGTAAATCTGTCTGAAATGTGGCACATAGGTACAGTGAAAGTTGTACATCAACTACTCTGGATGATTTTTAATGAATTTTTGAAAATGACATAATTGTATTGACTATTGCATTGAATACAAGTTTGCTTTTATATCTGAGGATTTCTACAGTAAATCTGTCTGAAATCTTGCACACAGGTACAGTAGGTGTCCCAGAGTAGGGATGTGGTGAAAGTTGGACATCAACTACTCTGGATGATTTTTAATGAATTTTTGAAAACTGCAGTACCGTAAAGACTGGTGTAAAAGCGCAAGGAAATTTACGCAGCGGATAAGATGCGGCTGGCTTGACCGCGGCTCACAAATGACGGCTCACTTGACCGCGGTCTTTAAGCACCACACAGTAAATGATAAATGACCCACACTTGTATAGCGCCTCTCAGAGTAAGGACTCCAAAGCGCTTTACACTACAGTGTATCATTCATCCATTCACACACTGATGGTGATGAACTACGATGTAGCCACAGCTGCTCTGGGGTGCACTGACAGTAGCTCCTTTATGTTTTTTTTTTAAAAGAATTTTATAGTTTAAGTAGCGAGGAGTTATTTGAAATCGCATGCGCCGAGGCTTCAGCGGTGATCCTGGTGACGCATCGGCGTTAAAGGGTTAAAAACTAAATGAAAACAAAGTGCATCAGTCCTGACCAATGTGCTTTTCCCTCATTTACAGTCACGGAGATAACGGCGCAGTGCGCGGCTCTGGTGGTAATCAAGTTTAGGGTTGTCACGGTATGAAAATTTAACCTCACGGTTATTGTGACCAAAATTATCACGGTTTTCGGTATTATCGCGGTATTTTTTAAACGGTGTTGCATATGTTCAGAAAGCATTGATAGTCCTGTTCTACACAAACTGAAATAGTTCTGAAAAGGTTTAACAGTGTTTATTAAACCTAAAATAACACAAAGCCTTAGCAAAAGTGCAACTTTTCACAAGTAAAGGAACAAATAGCTTATTTTTCTGGAACATGTTACAGTAGTCAGTGCAGGTTTAAATTATACAAATCCAAACATTCAAAACATAAACAATATGTAAACAAATCAAAGAAACACCACTTGTTTTCTCATATACTTGTTTTCTTCATTATCAAAATGAAAATCTAAAACTCCAGTCCACACTTGACTTGAGCACTGTACAAGTCAACCTTAAAAAATATGTATTTAAAATAAATAGCCACTTTAAACAAATTACTAAAATAACTACTACACTATGTAATCAAATCCAAATGTTCAAGTATAAATGGCATTGAATAAGTAAACAAATCCATGACAAGGAACTAATTGTATATTTCTCTTCATCATCAACAAATAAGATGCTTCATCCAGCAACAGGGTGTCCGTGACACGGTTTAAATGCTGGCAGAGGACGCTGCGGCTGCAGTATATAGTGACTCGTTGCATTCTCCCTCAGCCAAAAGTCCTCACGTCATACATTTAAGCTAAAATGCTAATGTTAACTTACCTTGCACTGGCTGTAGAGACGTGGGTGATCGTCACGCAGATGTGCCATGAGATTTGAAGTGTTGCTGCCTTCTGCAGACACTTGTTTCCTGCACGTTCTGCAAACGGGATAGCCGTCTTCTATTAACTGTCCCTCAGCATTTTTCAGAAATCCCAAATATGCCCATACTTCCGATTTAGTCTTCTTTGAGGGCTGATGGATGTCCTGGGCGCTGCCGTCGCCTCCTTCGGCCATTATTTCAGCTTCAAAGTTTTGGTGCCGTTGCAAATTAAAAAGTGCGTGTGCGCGCAGCGGGAACTTCAGCTGAAGCGACGGTGGCTGGTAAGGGTCATCGCGCCGAAACCGCGGCCACGGTAAACCCACCGAGATAATTTAGTTTTTTAAAAACTGGACGGTTATTTTTATTGTCAACTTTTTTACCGGGGTTTACCGCTATACCGGTTACCGTGACAACCCTAATCAAGTTACATTTTATCTCATTGATTCCAACAATTTTCACAAGAAAACAAAACAGTTAAAAGCAGGGCTTGTGTTGTGTTGACCGGATAGTTCCCGAATTTGACCGTTTATTTTGACGGAGAAAGAATAGAAAGAATTACCCCGACGCATGCAGACGAACTGACATTTTATTCGTTACGCACATCGCAGATGTAGCTAAATCACCCAAGAAAAGATTCCCATCTGAACATCTGAGCTGGGCACTGCTCAGCGCAGCTCGCTGTCAGCGCATATGTGCACAGCGAGCTGAAGATGTGGAGAGGGGCTTGGAGCGTGTCGCAGAACCAGAACCATGCAGGAAGGTTTCTCCCACTGAAGCGAGTGTTTTCCAAACCCTTTCTCTCAGAGAGACTTGTCAGTGAGAAAATGTTCCCTGATTATGAAACTTTGGCTGAATTGTGCTTGTTTCTGTATCCAATGTGGCGACACATCCATGAGCCGTCTGAGGAGAAGCCCAGAATCTCATATCCTCTTCAGCTCAGAAAGCGCCAATTACGCACAAGCGTGACCCGTCAACACGGTCTCACAGTAAGACCAGGTTCTGTTCAGGTTTACGCAGACAATCTTTACATTTAGAATTGACATACAGATATAAAATTAATTCAGTAAAATTTAAAGCCATTTTATTGAAATATCCATTCATTATTTTACAAGCACAGAGAGCCGCATCAGATGGATGGAAGCACTGCGGGTTGCCGACCCCTGATATAGCCTATAAAATGACAGGTTTTCTCCAGGACCAGAGAGGACACAAGCTCAATACATCTCTTTTATTGTGAGGTAATAATTTCTCAAGAGTTTTGCGGTTGCGGGCGGGAGTAGACATGCACACTGCGGGTGTGGGCGGGAGTGTAACACACACATTGCGGTTGTGGGCGGTAATGGTCAGAAATTCAGCGGGAGTGGGCAGGAGCGGGATATTTAATAAAGATAATTAATAAAGTGACACAACATGAAAATTTACTCTGTTATGAACACAGATGACTTTAATGAGGTGAGGAGGAAGCTCCCTCTTGCTGAGGAGCAGACAGACCTCCAGTCTGAGGCGGAAGCCATTGAAAGGCCTCAAAGAAGAAGAATTAAGTAAGAATTTTGTGAACTTTCCATTCCTCCACCTCTTGGGCCTGTGTTGAATTTGCACTCATTAACTTAAAATAAATGTTTAATTCCAAAAAAATGTTGTATTGTGTGTTCATTTCCAAAGGCCAAGTAAATGTCCAGGACCAGGCCTCATCAGAGGATGAAGCCCAGACCCCTGGAAGAGGGCTTCCCCCACCCCCAGCCATCCCCCCGGTGAGGAGAAGGTTCATCCTCCCCAATAACCTGTACCTCTGCCTGACCTGACCAATTACCAGGTAATGGAAATCTCAACAAATACCACAGTAACACATGTATAGCAAATGGGTTTGAGTGTAGCTGATCATGTAAGTGTGGTGTTTCAAATGTGATACGTTAAGAAATTTACAAAGGTTAATGAGGCAGTTACATGGAGAAAAACACTTCTGGAGCCATTACGTCACTGTTGAGGTCAATAATTGCATTTTGTAAACTGTTGTTCTTCTTCCTCTCTTCTACACACTCTTCCAGCATGTCATGACGCTGTGGACATCATTGCGGCAGGCGATTGACCTGCAGGGTCACCAGGGAACCCAGGGGGTTCCAGTTCCAACTCCCTCTTCATCTGGTGGGATGATGAGGGAGGAATCGGCTCTCCAGGTGCCTACTGTTTGCCCTAACTCCTCTCCAGGGCAGTGGCAGCAGAGGGACAACACGACATGTAAGGTTTTTATGGTTTACACTCACCCAGTCCTCACATGCCAGTTACAGTATACGAACACACATGATCCACGCATACATACTAATATAAGATGGTTTATAAAGTTAAACACACACATAGGCAAGGCAGGGCAAGGTGAAGTTCATAGGCGGCGATCCCAGGGGGGACACAAAGTTGTCCCCCCCACAAAAGTTATTGTAAACACATAAATGCTATCAGTAAACCTGTATTGTCTTCTAAAACCACAACGTAAAAGTTAGTCTGCAAATACAAAACAATGTGTTTTTAATTGTTGAGAAATTATAGTTCCCCCACCCTCCCCAATTCCTCAAGTTGGTACGGTCGGTCCACACATGCTGTTTCCAACGGGCGGGGCTGCCGGCTCTGCCCAGCTCACAGCTTCACAGCAGCCCGCCGGCTCACAGGAGGCAGGAATCAAAAAGCCAGCGGTTTCCAGCAGTAGGTCATTTATCACACGCTTGTTCTACAAACTTAAATATGTATGTCAGATGTGGTCATAAATGTCAAACATAGACACCGATTATCTTTAGATTTTGATCACCGGTCAGAGATCCCTTTATGACAGACCACCGCCACCACAGTAAAAAAAAAAAGTTGTCACTTCATGTTCTCTGGTCATTCCAGGATTATTCCACTATTATTATTTCATTCACTAAGGCACATATTTCAGAGTCAAGGCCCACGGGCCAGATGCGGCCCGCGGAGCATTTTTATGTGGCCCGCGAGATAAATATCAAAAATATATTAAAACTGGCCCGCTGGCCGATTTTACCGCAAAGACTACAACTCCCACGATGCTTTGCGGCGCCAGCGCAGAGCAGACGCGCCCCCTCCTTTGTGTTTTTTCAGCGACGAGGCAGTCAGAGGTAGTTGGGTGTCTGCAGCTCCGCTGTCTCGGACAAACTACACTCCTCTCACTCAGCGCCGAGTTCACTCCGCTCGTTTTCTGACGTTGAAGCCCAGAAACAGAGATTCTAGCCGCTCAGTAATGTGTTCACGACTTAAAGAGAAAGTTTTCAAACTAACTTCCAGACAGAGCTGATATAACTCCAGCGAGCAGCGACACGCTCAAACCAGCACGACTCTGTGGCTGCTGTCATCTTTCCTCCCCGACACACAACAACGTGGTCAAGCTGCTCAGACATGTTCATCAGCACAGACCTATGAGAGCACCTGTTGACATCTAATGTTGTCATTATTATGATGAAGATAAACAAAACAACAGGAGTCTCCTCCTCAGCTCAGGTCAGCCCCATGATGCAGGTATCTGGCTGGAACAGGTGAGCATCACAGTAAACCAGTGGAACAAACTGAGCTTTAAATATGCTGGTTTTCTGCTCTTTTTCAGCTCCAAAACATGAAAGTTAACAGGTGAGATGTTGCATTTTCATTTAAGATAAAATGATATTTTTATTTTGTTGTTGGCACGTGAGCAAAGATTTAACCTACAGTAAACAGGAAGTGGAAAGGCTGCAGATAGATGAATAGAATAGAAAATCCCTTTATTGTTCCTCAGTGGGGAAAGCTAGACGTCACAGCAGCGATGACACGTATTACAGGAGAAAAAAAGAGAATAAAAAATAAGAAAAATGAATAAACAAGAAAACATAAATCCTGAATAGATTTTAAAAATGCTGATTATACCACAAGTAATGAATACCACTGATGCCTTTTATTTAAAACTGACTTGCTCGTGTGTAATTTGGTTATTCCACATTCAGTGTTAATGCAGAAATATGTTTGTTTCCAAATTTAACGGTTCAAAATTGCATATATGTTGATAAAGAAAATGTGCAAATTTGCCGTCACTTTTTCAAAAAATATTAAGTTTGGCCCTCGACTCCGTCCCAGTGTTTCATTTCGGCCCCTTGTGAGTTTGAGTTTGACACCCCTGCACTAAGGTGATCAAAAGTTCCTTTCTCCGGACACGTACGCTTTCACGGTCTTCCCCTGGAATCTGCGGAGCATTTATAGATCGATGAAAATGTCCGCGTTTCATCCTATTTAGCAGATGAATATGGTAGAATCAAAATTAACTGGTCTGATGTATGGAATACCACAGCGTTTAACCGCTCTTATCACGTCTTCCCCAGGCTCTGCAGTTGTTTACAATATGTCAAAGTGCAGGTGCACCGTGCAGCTTAGAGATGAACTGGTTGCAGCAAATGTGTGGCGGAGGCCAGGGCGGGACTGGGACAAAAATTCAGCCCGGGCATTTTGACTGGAGACCGGCCCATCACCTGGTTTTTGTGGAAAACACATTAAGCCTTACGCTGTTTTTGACACACACCAACGTACACTTTCTTGTTGGTAATATTTATGTGTCAATCTAATAAACGTAAACCTACACCATCCGTCCTATCCTGGTATTCTAAAAAGTACTTAGTAAAAAGGAAAAAAGACCACTTGATTAAGGCAACACCCCAAACAATCTCTTAACACTTGGTAGAAACCTGACATTTAAACAGAGAACTATTAATCAATAATGAATATTAATATAAAAAAAGACATTTGTGGAAATTTTCATAAACTGTTTTATCACCACACCAACTAGGAAATACTTTTACAATACATTTAAAAAAGAAAGGAGACAGAGAAAGGTGAGATAAAATAACTTAACTGACCATTTGAGGTCTTTTTAGAGATCGTACTGGTGCAGTATCTAGAAAATGTGGGGAAAATGCTGCCATCGTATACAGTATTCACTTCTGTAACTATTTGTTAATATGTTGTTAATACGAGTTGCAGTATTTATAGCTATCCTGTTAGGGTGTGTAATTGTTGGACGGAATCTTTAACAAAACACATAATTAATAAATTATTTGTGTATGATTGTGTGCATTTAGAATATCTATATTAAAGTCTCCACAAACACTAACTTATGATTATTTGTATTTAATTCTACTGTACATTTCTTTAAATTTGTTCTGAAAAATAATTCATTATTAATAATTAATTATTAGAGGTGGGAAAAATGATCGATTCTAAGATGCATCGCGATTCAGCCGTGCACGATTCCGCATCGATGCAGCAACGTGACATAATGAGATTCTCTCCCTATGTCTATGTTGGGGGTCGGCAACCGCGGCTCTGGAGCCGCATGCGGCTCTTCCATCCATCTGATGCGGCTCTCTGTACTTATAAAATAATGAATGGATATTTAAATAAAAAGTTTTATATTTTACTGCATTAATTTTACATCTGTATGCCAATTCTAAATGTAAAGATCGTCTGCGTAAACCTGAACAGCTCCAACCCGGTCTTACTGTGAGACCGGGTTGACGCGTCACGCTTGTGCGTAATCATAAAGGCGCATTCTGAGCTGACGAGGACGTGAGATTCTGGGATTCTCCTCAGGTCCTGGATGTGTCGCCACATTGGAGACAGGAACAAGCGCTATTCAGCCAAAGTTTCATAATCAGGGAACATTTTCTAAGTGACAAGTCTCGCTTCAGTTGGAGGAATCTTCCTGCCCTTTGGTTCTGCGACGTGCTCCAAGCCCCTCTCCACAACTTCAGCTCGCTGTGCGCCGTACGTACGCACTGACAGCGAGCTGCGCTGAGCTCAGTGTCAAGCTCAGATGGGAATAATTTCTTAAGTTATTTAGCGACATCTGCGCGAAACGAATAAAGTGTCAGTTCGTCTGCTTGCGTCGGGGTAGTTCTTTCTATTCTTTCTCCGTCAAAATAAACGGTTAAATACGGGAACTATCCGGTCAACACAACACAAGCCCTGCTTTTAACTGTTCTGTTTTCTTGTGAAAATTGTTGCAAAGAGATATAATTAAACTTGATTAACACCAGAGCCAGGCGCACTGCACCGTTATCTCCGTCACTGTAAATGAGGGAAAAACAAATTGATCGGATCCTTTTCTGACCTTCCCCACCTACAAAGTTTAATTACAACAATCAAACATGACAGAGCCTGGATTTGTATTCTGAACAGTCTAAACATGTTTTAAAAAGAAACGTATGACAAAAGTGGCACCTGCTCAGTAAAACCACCAACAGGGTGAAAAATATCAAAATATTGTAGACAGAGACGGGCTACAGCTTCTGGATCAACTTTATATAAATCATTTTATTGATTATCGTCTTATGAAAGATAACTTTGATGTACACGAGCGACCGGTACTGGCTGCTGTCACCTGTTGTGAGCCAACACAATAGCGCTCTGCTGTCTGAGGGTAGGCCCCGCCCACAACGCCGCGGCTGCTGCAGTGTTTTCTTTACTGTGGGAAACGGGTAATAATGGATCTTTGATGGGAACAGGTTGCCGACCCCTGGTCTATGTCTATGCGAGGACAATAAAGTTTTGAGGTTTTACAATTACTTCTGGGGGCAGAGTTGCAATGACATGCGCACTGCGTTGTCCTAGAAGCAATTGGACAGGGATACAGGGCCAACATTACCAGTAATCAAAGATGTACCCGTTACATTTAAATCGGATGTCTGGGCTAATTTCGGTTTTGGGATCCTGGGTGTGAAAGAATCACTTAACACAGTATTTGTTTACTATTTTTAAGTTCAGTAATATTCAATCTTAAAGCTGCTCTACCGAAAACATTATTTCTTATATTATTTAAGTAATTATAGGCAGCACACTTTAAAAATTATTGCTCACTATAGTGAATAGATGAATGTTCTGTATTCTGCCCTCACTAGAGGATGAAGCTGGGTTCTAGCTTGGCAGATAGCTTAACAGGTCCACGATAAACATCCAGGAGTCAGCAGGGACGTTTTAGATATTTACTGTAGAAGGCACTGTAAAACTGCAATACAGAAAAACAATAAATGAATAATGTTACATTTATGATGTATTCATATGTATTTTGTATTAATAAACACTTAATAATAAACTTTCATGTACTTTATGGGTATTTCATAAAGATATAATAACACAATCAGAAGTTTTTCCCCAAGAACCTAGCGGTTAGCTCAATGCTAAGAATATATGTAAAATTCCATAGACGGGCTAACGCATTAGCATCACAACCGTTTTTACTAGAGATAAAAACTTTCACACACAAGATTCTCAACTGTTACATAAAACTATAATAAATACGCTCAACGGAACAAACATGTATGACTTACAGGCATGTGCTCTTTCAGGCTTAGCAAGAAAAGATGAACCAATATGCAAAAAATATAACAGTTAGCTTAACGGTCATCTCCAGTTGAGAATAACTATGGCAAGTCTACCGGTACAAATTACATACGTACGCACGCACATGCGCGCGCACACACACACAGAGCTAAATTTACATGTCTGCCTTAAAGGGGCGGCACACTCCCCGCATGGTATATTGTACTATACCACTATGTCCCTCTAAGTAACAGTACTACTTCTGTAGCAGGTCTCAAATACACTCTGGGTGAGCCACCTTTGACAACTCTCACCTCCACTTTACGAACTTTGCTATCTTGACCTGGGAAGGTATTTACAATGAGACCTGTAGGCCACTCATTCCGTTTAGCCTGTTTGTCCTTTAAAAGGACAAGATCTCCAACTTGTAAGTTAGTTTGTTCTGCTTGCCACTTTCTTCTTGGCTGGAGAGTAGCCAAGTACTCTTGGCGCCATCGTTTCCAGAATGAGTCAGCAAGACCTTGAACTTGCTTCCATTGACTCCGGTACAGATCTTTAAGATCAAGGTCTCCTGAAGGAAAGGATGCAGAGTCCAGTTTCTGAGTCAAAAGCATAGAAGGTGTAAGTACGGTTGGCGCATCTGGATCTGAAGACACAGGAACAATCGGCCGGGAATTCATTATGGCAACTACTTCCGCTATCAGCGTAGTGAGTACTTCGTGTGAAAGAGTAGGAGAATGCATCTTGAGCAACATGCCGTCCAATATGCGTCGAGCGATCCCTATCATTCTTTCCCACGCTCCTCCCATATGAGAGGAGTGTGGAAGATTGAAGTCCCAAGTACAGCCTTGGTCTTTGAGGTATGACTGAAGTGCTGCATCATCTGAAGTTATTCCAAGTTCTTTACACGCACCAACAAAGTTTGTGCCTCTGTCAGAACGAAAAAGCTTTGCTGGTCCCCTGATGGCTGTGAACCGCCTGAGAGCATTTATGAAGCTTGATGTTGACAGAGAGTCTATCACTTCCATGTGGACTGCTCTTGTTACCAAACAAGTAAACATCACCGCCCAACGTTTACTTTCGAATAGACCTCCTCTGGTACGACGGGCAGAGACAGTCCATGGTCCAAAAACATCTAATCCAACTTGTGTGAATGGAGGAGCTTGAACCAGCCGGTCAGCAGGTAAGTTGGACATCTTTTGTTTTTCCATACTTCCCCTCAACCGTCTGCAGGAGACACATTTATGTATGGTGCTTGATATGAGTCTTTTTCCTCCCAGGATCCACAACCCAGCAGACCTGATTGCCCCTTCAGTGAAGTGTCTGCCCTGGTGTGCTACTCGTTCGTGATAATATCGAACCAGCAATGTTGCAACATGAGTATTTTTGGGGATGATTATGGGATGCTTCTCTTCCCAGGAGACTGTCGCTAATGCTGCACGACCCCCTATCCTCAGTACATCATCTGAATCTAGAAATGGGTCAAGTTTCCAGAGAGGACTGTGTTTTGAGACAATCTCTCCTTTTGATAGGCTTTTGATGTCTTCTTTAAAGGCTTCTTGTTGTACAGCTCGTATGATTACTGTTCTTGCCTGTATAAACTCATCCGCCTTTGGTGTATCTCTCCTTGAGGATGTAGCACAAGATCTGATTTTCTGGATGAGTTTAGCTATGCCACATACAAGTGTCTTCCAGCTGGAAAAGCGCTCAAACCTATGTGAGCCAAGCAATGTTTTAGAAGTCATTGTTGAAAAGGTTGTAATTAGTGGACGCACGTCAACATCATCATCAGGTTCTACTAGCTCAAAGGGCTCTGTCTGGGTAAGTGCAACTTCCTTATCATTTTTGAGAATAGATGGACCAGAAAGCCAGTTTGTTTCTCCCAAAAGATTTGCTGGAACTGGTCTGGTACCATGGTCTGCAGGATTGTTTTCTGAGCTGATAAAATGCCACTGCCCAGGCTGTGATGATTTCCGGATACGTGCTACTCTGTTAGCAACATATACGTAAAATCTGCGGTTGCTGTTGTATATGTATCCCAACACTACTCTGGAATCTGTGTAAAACTTTACTGCATGGATGTTGGTATCTAGCTCGTCAATCAGAGTATCAGCTAGTTCAACTGCAAGTACAGCTGCACAAAGCTCTAGACGGGGCACAGTAGTGGTGTGATGGGGAGCTACTTTAGATTTTCCCATGCAGAATCCTACAAGACTGTGTCCGTCTTCATCAACTACTCTGAGGTAGGCGACTGCACAGATAGCCATGGTGGATGCGTCAGAAAAAACACACAGTTCTCTATGTGGCGCAGAGAGCAAGGACATTGGTAAGTATGGTCTTGGTACGTGGAGCTGCTCGAGAGATTTGAGAGAGTCTCGCCAGGATTTCCACTGGGTTGCCTTTTTGGCAGGTATCGGGGCATCCCATTCACAATGTTCGATGCTTAGCTCTCTGACTATAGCCTTGCCCTGTATTGTTACTGGAGCTACAAATCCTATTGGGTCAAATATGCTGTTAACAGTGGAGAGAATGCCACGGCGGGTAAAGGGTTTCTCCTCTTGAGAGACGAGGAAGGTAAAACAGTCAGTTTGCAAATTCCAGTTGAGACCTAAGCTTCTTTGCATGGGCAAGGGATCTACACCGAGCTCTAGATCTTTCAGTTCTTTCGCACGCTCTTCAGATGGGAATTCTTCCACTACTTTATTGTGGTTGGAAGCTATTTTATGCAGCCGTATATTTGAGTCTGCTAACATTTCCTTGGTCTCTTTCAGGACTTGGATGGCTTCAGCATCAGTGGGAAATGAGGCAAGACCATCATCCACATAAAAATTCTTCAGAACGAATTGTTTAGCCTCCGTGCTGTTTTCTCCTTGCTCTTGCAGAGCAGCCTTCCTTAAGCCATATATTGCAACAGCGGGAGACGGGCTGTTGCCAAAAACGTGCACCGTCATTCTGTACTCTGTGATATTTTTGGTGGGGTCATTGTCCTTGAACCAAAGGAAACGTAGGAAGTCTCTGTGATCATGGCGGACTTTGAAGCAATAGAACATTTGTTCTATGTCTGCTGCCACTGCCACTGGTTCCTTGCGAAAGCGAGTGAGCACTCCTAATAGTGTGTTATTTAAATCAGGGCCACTCAACAAGATGTCGTTAAGAGAGACACCTTCATGTTTAGCGCTGGAGTCAAAGACTGCTCGTACTCGGCCTGGTTTACGTGGATGGTAAACCCCAAAGATCGGTAGGTACCAGCACTCTTGTCCATCAGTGGGTGATGAAACAGGTTCAGCATGGCCTGCCTCAAAGATCCCCTGCATGAAGGTAATCATATGCATTTTCAGGTCTGGCCTTTTTTTGAACATGTGTAGTAAGGCTGAAAGACGTTTGACCGCTTGTGCACGGTTGTTGGGGAGTTTGCGCCTTGGCTGTTTGAAGGGCAATGGTGCCACCCAATTGTTTGCATCATCCATGAAGACCTCCTTATCCATTATTTCTAGAAAAACTTTGTCTTCTACAGACAAGGCAGGCTTGTCATCATGTGGGGTTTGATGGAAGACTCCTTCCCCGATGTTACCTTTCTCTTCAAGCAGGTCTTGAGATGGGTTAGCTACAGGAAAATGAATGTGATGGATTGCTGTGTCTAATTTCTCTTTAATGTGAAGACTGTTAGAACAAGGCTCGAACAGAGATGCACGTCCATTGCTCAGCACATTGCTGCGGTAGACATTTACGAGCTCTGGTTTGTGCGCTCTTCCAACACAAACCTCTCCTACAATCACCCATCCCAAGTCGAGGCGTTGTGCATAGGGGGCATTGTGAGGTCCATTGCAATACTCCCGAACCTTGTGTGCCCTTGGTACGTCACGACCGAGCAGGATGAGGATGCCTGCTGAGGGGTCTAGAGCTGGGATTTTATCCATGACCCGCTTCAGATGTGTATAATGTTTGGCGATTTCAGGCGTGGGGATTTCAGACCTGTCATCAGGGAGCATGTCACATTCAATTAAGGTGGGAAGTGGAATTTGATTCCGTCCATCCAATGACTCCATTACAAAATTGTTAGCTCGTCGCCCCATGGTTTCGATAACTCCTGAGCAAGTCTTTAATGTGTATGCTGCTGTGCCCGCTGTAACACCAAAGAGTTCAAAAAACTCTGATCTTGCCAGGGACTTATTGCTCTGCTCGTCAAGAACAACATAAGCCTTAACCGCTTTCTCCATCTGGCCAGCTGGATAAAGTCTGACAAGACAAATTTTAGAGCATGACCTTGCTCTGAGTGTACTTCCACATATTTCAGTACATTTTGATATGACAGCTGAAGGAGTTTCTTCTTCTTGCTCCCCGCCTTGATCTCTTGTACTCCCGGAAGTCTCTGTAATCCAGGGGGGTGCTCCTGGGTGTAATGCAGTAGGGTGGTTCTCGCTTTTACACTCTCTGCACTGTACGTTTTTTGAACAGTCCTTTGCTAGGTGAGAGGTTGATGCACAGCACTTAAAACAGATATTATTTTCTTTAAGGTAAGTTT